ACCAGTACCACCCACCACCACCAGTACCACCCACCACCACCACCACCAGTACCACCCACCACCACCAGTACCACCACCAGTACCACCCACCACCACCACCACCAGTACCACCCACCCACCACCACCCCCACCACCACCACCACCAGTACCACCACCAGTACCACCCACCACCAGTACCACCCACCACCACCCCCACCACCACCACCTGTGGGAACCGACCTGTGAGATTTATATTTATTTAATTTATATACTTCGATAGCAATTTGTATGATGATAAGTGGACTGTATTTCTGCAATAATCTCATAATCTCACAAATCGATCCTCTACACATTAGGGGGGGTTTATATTAAATTTATATATATGCAGCCAATCAAACTACAGTATTAACTACACATATTGAAGAGGTTCCTTATCTTATTTGTACCGCAGGCCTTAGTCCACCAGGTATAACCAGGATGTAGACACCACATTTTCCTCGTGTGAGGTAGCTTCCATCACCCTGGTAACTGATGCACAAAGCATGCTTCCTCGTCTTGACCTGTCAAAAGGGCGCTAGCTGTAAAGCCAGAATCCTTTTATATGACAGCTATATCAGAGAAAACACTGTACAAGGAACCATGAAGACCTGGCTTAATTACCTTGTTTGATTCGATCATTTGTGATCTAACCGGCCCACCCTATATCTACTTACATTAATGGCCATAAATGAAAGATAAATGGGTTTCGGAAAGACACTTCCCTTGAGATTGATGACAGCGTGTTGATGATGGCAGATCACTACTCTGATCTTCCATAACACTTCGTCCAAGAGAATTTATAGGAGCCGAATTTGCTCCACAACTCTGGTCTAAGTACAATAACAATGGTGACACTCCATACTACTGACGCTACTGGCCGACATTGTCCAGATATGATAGGAGCCGAATTTGCTCCACGCGGAACAAATCGGAGCAAATTCGGAGCAATGTTGTCATCGGAGGTGACAACAACAATGGCTGACCACTCCCTCACTCTGACGCCTGGCTTACATTGTCCAGATTTCAGAAAGTTATAGAAGGGTCACATTTACTCTACTTTAATAGTGATAATTAAGTTAATTTATATGAGATGTTTTTATGATGGTAAAGTCCAAAGACTAATGTATTTAAGAATAATTCCCACCATAATAGGTGGTGAATTTATAATAGTATGTGGTAATGATATCCCGTTTTCTATAGACGGAAATTCCACTACAATTTAAATTTTCTATGGGTTAACTTGTGTATACAACACAGCAATATTATCTGTCTGTATGATATTATTAAATGGTGTCGGATTTTCCGACACCACCACCACCACCCACCACCACCCACCACCACCACCACCAGTACCACCACCACCACCACCACCACCACCAGTACCACCACCCACCACACCACCACCCACCACCACCACCACCACCACCACCACCACCACCACCACCACCACCACCACCACCACCACCACCACCACCACCAGTACCACCACCACCACCACCACCACCACCACCACCACCCACACCACCACCACCAGTACCACCACCACCAGTACCACCACCACCCACACCACCACCACCACCCACCACCCACCACCCACACCACCACCACCCACACCACCACCACCACCACCACCACCACCACCCACCACCCACACCACCACCACCACCACCACCACCACCAGTACCACCACCACCACCACCACCACCCCACCACCACCACCACCACCACCACCACCCACACCACCACCACCACCACCACCACCCACCACCAGTACCACCACCACCACCACCACCACCACCACCACCACCACCACCACCACCACCACCACCACCACCACCAGTACCACCACCCACACCACCACCACCACCACCAGTACCACCAGTACCACCAACACCACCACCCACCACCCACCACCCACACCACCACCACCACCACCCACCACCCACCACCCACACCACCACCACCACCACCACCACCACCCACACCACCACCACCACCACCACCACCACCACCAGTACCACCACCACCACCACCACCCACCACCCACACCACCACCACCACCACCACCACCACCAGTACCACCACCACCCACACCACCACCACCACCACCACCACCAGTACCACCACCACCACCACCACCACCACCAGTACCACCACCACCAGTACCACCACCACCAGCACCGAGCGCCTCCCCTAAGGCTCAACACCCATGAGAGACGCCACCAGTTTCTCCCATTCTCTCGAAGCAGCACTTTGCAAAATGATTTCTCACCCAGCCTTCATAAATATCTCCTTCGTAAACACTGCCGACGGTTCCCACGAAATATATTTGGACGAGTGTCTAGCATTTCGATTGAAAATTCATAAAGGCTTCAAATTTTTTTCTCCAATAGGTAGTTTCCTTTTGGCTACATGTAGTTCTTAACTTGAAGCAAATTTATTGGTATGGAAAGTTTGACTTCTTATAGTGGAGTATATACACACACACACATATATATATATATATATATTTGTGTGTATATCGAGGCTACAGCAGGAGCAAGAACACGAGGCTACAGCAGGAGCAAGAACACGAGGCTACAGCAGGAGCAAGAACACGAGGCTACAGCATACAGCAGCAAGAGCCGAGGATACAGCAGCCCACAAGAGCCGAGGCTACAGCAGGCCACAAGAGCCGAGGATACAGCAGCCCACAAGAGCCGAGGCTACAGCAGCCACAAGAGCCGAGGCTACAGCAGGCCCACAAGAGCCGAGAATACAGCAGCTACAAGAGCCGAGGATACAGCAGCCACAAGAGCCGAGGATACAACACCAGCAAGAGCCGAGGATACAGCAGCCACAAGAGCCGAGGATACAGCAGCCACAAGAGCCGAGGATACAACAGCCCACAAGAGCCGAGGATACAGCAGCCACAAGAGCACGAGGCTACAACAGCAAGAGCCGAGGATACAGCAGCCCACAAGAGCCGAGGCTACAGCAGGCCACAAGAGCCGAGGCTACAGCAGCCCACAAGAGCCGAGGCTACAGCAGCCACAAGAGCCGAGGCTACAGCAGGAGCACAAGAGCCGAGAATACAGCAGCCCACAAGAGCCGAGGATACAGCAGCCGACAAGAACACGAGGCTATACAGCAGCCAAGAGCCGAGGATACACAGCCACAAGAGCCGAGGCTACAGCAAGCAAGCCGAGGCTACAGCAGCCACAAGAGCCGAGGCTACAGCAGCCACAAGAGCCGAGGATACAGCAGCTACAACAGCCACAAGAGCCGAGGCTACAGCAGCAACAAGAGCCGAGGCTACAGCAGGAGCAAGAACACGAGGCTATACAGCAAGAGCCGAGGATACAGCAACCACAAGAACACGAGGATACAGCAGGAGCAAGCCGAGGATACAGCAGCCCACAAGAGCCGAGGCTACAGCAGCCACAAGAGCCGAGGATACAGCAGCCCACAAGAGCCGAGGCTACAGCAGCCACAAGAGCCGAGGCTACAGCAGGCCCACAAGAGCCGAGGATACAGCAGCCACAAGAGCCGAGGATACAGCAGCCACAAGAGCCGAGGATACAGCAGCCACAAGAGCCGAGGATACAGCAGCCACAAGAGCCGAGGATACAGCAGCAGCCACAAGAGCCGAGGATACAGCAACAAGCCGAGGCTACAGCAGCCACAAGAGCCGAGGCTACAGCAGCCACAAGAGCCGAGGATACAGCAGCCACAAGAGCGAAGAACACGAGGCTACAACAGCAGGCAGCAAGAGCCGAGGCTACAGCAGGAGCAAGAGCCGAGGCTACAGCAGCCCAGCAAGAGCCGAGGCTACAGCAGCAACAAGAGCACGAGGCTACAGCAGCCAGCAAGAAGCCGAGGCTACAGCAGGCCACAAGAGCCGAGGATACAGCAGCTACAAGAGCCGAGGATACAGCAGCCACAAGAGCCGAGGATACAGCAGCCACAAGAGCCGAGGATACAGCCCACAAGAGCCGAGGCTACAGCAGGCCACAAGAGCCGAGGCTACAGCAGGCCACAAGAGCCGAGGCTACAGCAGCCACAAGAACCGAGGATACAGCAAGAGCCGAGGCTACAGCAGCCCACAAGAGCCGAGGATACAGCAGCCAACAAGAGCCGAGGATACAGCAGCCACAAGAGCCGAGGATACAGCAAGAAGCCGAGGCTACAGCAGCCACAAGAGCCGAGGCTACAGCAGGCCACAAGAGCCGAGGATACAGCAGCTACAAGAGCCGAGGATACAGCACAAGAGCCGAGGATACAGCAGCAACAAGAACACGAGGGATACAGCAAGAGCCGAGGACACAGCAGCCCACAAGAGCCGAGGATACAGCAGCCACAAGAGCCGAGGATACAGCAGCCACAAGAGCCGAGGCTACAGCAGCCACAAGAGCCGAGGCTACAGCAGCCACAAGAGCCGAGGCTACAGCAGCCACAAGAGCCGAGGCTACAGCAGCCACAAGAGCCGAGGATACAGCAGCCACAAGAGCCGAGGATACAGCAGCCACAAGAGCCGAGGATACAAGGACA